TTATTTATTTATTTATTTATTTATTTATCTATTTATTTATTTATTTATTCATTTATTTATTTATTTATTTATTTTACGAAGTGACCATGAACGCAGCACGAGCCCCGGTGCTGCTCGGTGCTCTCGCGCTACTCTCATCCTTTTGTGTCCTCCGTCCAATCAGCGCGCGGACTGTGGTTTCTGGCCGCTGATTGGACGCGGAGGAGGAAGATGCGACGTCCAGGGAGAACGGACCGAAGACTCCACAAACCTTACTGATGTGGTTTGATATTTTAAGCTGCGGTTTGATGTTTTAAGTCTTTGCTGTCTGCTTGGGCGTGTTCCGTCCGTCCTACGGGACCATGGAGGTGCTGGAGATTCAACCCTCGTTTTTCTGAGGTTTAGTCTTGTTAGTTTGGTTGCATCGTCTGTCGGCCCCACCATGGCGCTGCTTTTTAGTCGCATCCGAGAGATTGTAGATTCGGGCTGGTCCGATGGAATATTTGTGACTGAAGGTAAGGAGAACAATAAGACCGTGTCAATGTTTTATTTTGACTGTGTGGGTCTTTGTTTTCCTTTGTGAAGGCTAATGGCTGAACCGTCAGGTCTGTAAACATTTATGTGTTTCCTCCTAAAATAATTAAATGCTGGTAGTAATGGTGGTTTATGTGTTCTTGTTACAACCTTTTTCTGTTTTACTAAACCATGTACCAGAATACACTGATTAGAGTGTCATAAAGGCAGATTCATTCTACTTTATGAGTTCCTGTAGCACACACCATGAGTTAATGTTTGCTTTGCTCTTTAGGTGTTGCTGTGTGAACGACGCACGAACAATGGCTGATGCCGAGGTCACGTACGCAGACTTCATCGCCTCTGGCCGGACTGGTCGCAGGAACGCCATGCACGACATCCTGCAGAGTCCCACTGACCCCGAGGGACGGGAGCTGTCCCTCACCCTGTCTCTGTCCCAGCTGCACATCAACACCGGAGGGGGAGGTGAGCCTCTGCTTTAACACCACCATTAAGCAGGGATTTGTGAGTCTTTATAATGATGTATTAATCTGCGTAAATACTACCAAACATGTGGTCTTTTGTACGGCATGGTTTCTCATTAAAGTAGACAAAATGTGTATATATCTTTTTATTTGAGTAAAGTATTTAAATCTAATCATATTTGAGTTGCAAATGTTTGTGAACAAAGACCTAATCGTATACTAATATTAAGCTTATTGATCACTTTGTCAGTAATGATATTAAAGGAAAACATACAGATATGAAACATAAACCCAAAGAAAGAAACAACACTTATAAACAGTTACAACCAAACAGTAGTTTTTGTTTTTTTCCCTGTCATTGTTATGTTTATAACAGACTTAACCAACTATACTCATTGAACTTACGTAATGTTTGTATTGCACACTTTATACAAGGCACTACATGAAAACCTTAATATGTCCAGTTTAGCAACTTGTGCTGTATCATCAGACAGGATATAAGTAGAAACATATTAGAGGTAGGCCTGTCGCGATAGTCAATAAATCAAYTAATTGCACGATAAAAAAATTTTGAGATCGGTAAAAAAAATGAGGACGAAAAGTTTCATTTTCCTGCTTGTTTGTTTACTTCGTCTCTCTCCCTCTCTGTGCTCCGCTACACAGGAGCTCAGCTGAGTCCTCCCCTCCTGTTTTCTTAGTGTCGGGAGGAGTGAACTCTCACTTTAGCATGAGAGCTCGTAGCAATAACAAACTAAAGAAATGTTTCAAAGCAGAACGCGGCTGCTGCAGTGTCGGAGCACTAGAGCCTGAATTTCGCTGCGGGGAGACACAGAGAGAGAGAGAGAGGAGGAGAAGGGGTGGGGACTGAAACTTCCCCAGACCCGCAACAAACTCGTCAAGACTTTATCTGTAGCTTCCAAAAATAACAGGAAACTTAAACGCACCATCTGTGTTTTAACTAAACACCCCAAAAAAACCTGTAGCTGTCCCAGCAACTCATGAGGAAAACTCTGAACTGTCTGATTTCCTCCCCGCAGCGCTCTGACTGTCTCCTCACTGACTGTCCCCTCCTCACACACACACACGTTTGTTCTTCTATCCTCATGGGGACTTTGCATTGACTTCCATTCATTTACCAGTATTTTCTATTACCTATTTGACCCTAAACTTTACTTAGGATGTGAACTGGGCTTATCTCCCCATAAGAAACAGTGGGTCCTCACCAGGCTGTGTAGTTTGCTTCATCTCTAAAGAGATGCTGCTCTTTAATATTGTTTATTTACTGTCTTAGTTGTGTGTGGTGTTTAATTTACATTTTGTTGTTCTTTTTTTTTATTCAAGTGCATTTTTTGTTAGAGACTGAGTCCACTTTGTTAAACATTCTTTAAAAATTAAATTTTATTGATTTATTACACTTACATATTATGCTTTTATAATTATTAGTTGTAAAATGCTCACCAGGCAATATTATCGCTTATCGCAATAATTTGTGAGACAATTAATCGCCCAGCAAAATTTGTTATCGTGACAGGCCTAATTAGAGGATGCACCAGGATGTCCTTCAGTGAAACATGACACTATCAACTGTCTTGGTCTGGCTACAGAACATATTAAAGGGGACATATCATGCAAAACTCACTTTTTTAGTGGTTAAATGCATTTTATTGTGTACTTGAAGTCTTTAGGACTGCAGACAATTTTAATTTATTCTCTCCCGGCACTGTAAAGATATCTTTTCAACCTGTTCAGATTGATCTATTTTCTACGGCATTTTCTGAACTATTACAGCAAATTTTTTGTGACAGAACTGCCAAATAAGGTAGAACTTTCYGACTACAGTTTCATCGTCTTCATCCTCCTCTCTCTCTGGGTCAGACTCTGGCTCCAACATGTCAGGCTGGATGGACAAGTCTTCCCTTGTTGACATCTTTTAATTGTGATCCATTACATCAAATTGAGGATTAAGTCAGATTTGGTCAAAATGACCTCAGCACATTTTTACATTCCTGTTTTTTTAGCTCCATTTGGATACCTGGATCATCCTGACATGAGCAGTTCCAGAGACTTGAGTAGACTTTTCTTATTAATCACAATAATATATTAATATTTGGTCTAAATCCTATGTTTAGGTTATTCTAATGAGGAATTTTAAAGTCCTTTTAGAGGGGAAACCTCTGATAGTATTTGGATATTAAGATTTCACAGATGGAAAGAAACAAAAGCTTTTTTGCTCAAAACCTTTTTTAATTAATTAATTTATTTATTTATTTATTTATTTATTTTGGGGTGTTGTTCAAAAAAGTGCTTCAAAAATTATTTAAGATTATATTTCAGACACTTCATTCAAATGATACACTGGTATGGCATTTATTCATCATAGCTTGACAAAATGAAATTCACTTCCTCCGCACCGCTTTGGGACTTAGAGTAATAAGTTTGTTGGATGGGTCACAGTTAATTTGTAAATAAATTTAAAAAAAAAAACACTTGCTAGATAGACGTTATCCCCTCTATCAAACTGGAATGAACCACTCTAGAATCTGGAGGAGTGAGGGATGAAGCGCCTCGTCTAGGTTTAAAGGAACAGAATCAGAACCAGCTGCTTTGAGACCCACATCAGAAAAGGGGTGCAAAAAAGGGGGCTGGTGAAGTTAAAGAGGAATTCAGACCAAAGCATTGCAATTCTACTCTAAACAAAAGATTCAAAAACATGGTATGTCTGTTGTAAGTATAGGCTTCACAAAATCACATATTTATTGATCTTAGAACAGCATGCACAGTAAAATCCTGCAATTAGCAGTTTAAAACACGACAAAAATATAATCTTCAATATTTGTTTTGTCTAACAAAAAAAAAAGGTTTTCAGTTACTGAACCAAAACGAAGCATCGTAAAAATATCAGGTTGTTTTCTCATAGTACCTTCAGAAATTGTAATGAAAAATCTAAAAATCCCAGAGTTATTGAAGGTTGTCCTCTACAAAATTTATATTTATTAAAATATATGTGCATATAACCTCTGAGACCCTGCATCCTAGGACAGTGGTTTTAGACTGGTTGTCCTTTTTCAAGGGGACTAGATTTAAAATGTTATTTATTATTGTAAATTAAATATATTTCTTATTTCAAACTCCTATTTGCTTAAATATTATTTTATTGGTTTAGGAGGTTCCACTAATCCTAAATAGCTGGTGGAAATAAAAAAAATACTCACTAAGCAAAAGATTGAGCCTCTGGAGTATAAAACCATCTGGTCAGTCAGGGGGCTAACAATTGTTCAGGGGTGGCCATTGCCCTGCTTGACCCCTTCCTTGGTGGCGCCTCTGTTTTCACAGACAAAAATACATTTGTTCATCAGCTTGGACAACTTTCTGATCTTAGAGTTTGCTGATATAGAAATCTATTCTTGGCTTTAAAGAAACTATATTGATCTGAGATTTCCTGCTTCATCTTAATGCAGTGAAGAAAACCAGTAGATTTATATACAACATGAATGCTGCTCAGTTTAKTTAAGGGACAACCACAAAGCCAGTGTGTGTCACACAGAATCTCATGAGGATTTGAGAAAAAAAGTTTCCCATTCACTTTAAGGTGGGTGTTATGAACTACAACATAAAAAATGTACTTATATTAGTTTAAAAATGGTTCAATGCAGGAGTGAAGTATATGTATAGTGTACTGAATCAGCCATTTTTTGTGTTCTAATTTAATGGAAAACATGATCACTTCATGCACTAGAAATGCTGTATGTCACATGTGCACAGAAGTTGTGCATTACATTAATCCAAATAGACCATCATGCATTGCAGCCTGAGCCGACAGAAACATTTAGGACTAACATCTACGGCTCGTTATTTTGGGTTGCAGATTTGCTCAATATTCGTGAGAAGAAATATTGCCCAGATGTCTTAAATTTAAAGTTCTTCCTAAGCATTAGGACTGAAGAAATTTTTAGAAAAGCAATGTTTTGTAACACTTGCCATTAGGGCAAGACACATGCTACTCTTAAAACAGTAAGTCATATTGACCAACAGTTAGAAAAAMAGTGCTTATAAAGGAGCACCATTTCTAAATTTAAAGGCAGTTCTTTGTAAGTTAGCAAGAATTTGGAAGAAATGGACAGATTTTAAAGAAAATCCCTGCAAGTAATTATTAAATGTGCATGCATTATATACAGTAACTGGGTGGCTTGGCCCATTGATAGGGCCTTCGTCATTTAGTCTGAGGGTCAGGGGTTCTTTTTGAAGCAGTCTGAAATGACCTTGGGCAAGATGCTGAATCCCAGTCTTGTCAATATGCTTGTCAGTGTGTGAGTGATTATAAAAGAGTGCTGTTTAAAGTGCCACACCAGCACTTTAAACAGATTGAGTTGAGTATTCCACCACACCATGCCACTGTTAGTTTTGTGAATACTTGACACATATTTCATTCAAATAGTTCTGGCACTCAGAACTGCTTTTTAGCTTATAGGCACAAACAGAGCGCCTCCCCCGAAGCCGAAGGAGCAGGGAAGCTACCTTCTCATCTACCGGGGAAAAGTCCAACACGCAGGTACCAGGCTGGGGGTCTATAAGTAGGCCCACACTGACACCTCTCAATATGGGCTCAAATTGGGCTTGACAGAGGCTTAGTCGTTAGCACTGATTCCTCGAAGCAAGAAGGTCCGGGGTTCGAACCCTGATTTGGAGCWGGGGTCTTTCTGTGTGGCTACCAACCCATTCTCACTCCCAACTCGTCACATATTGACGCTTTTCAAAGGTGCATACGATTTTGATGTGTCGCATTAGTTATTGACAAGATGGGGTGGAATCCGTTGTCATAATTTCAGAAAGTGTAGAAAATGCACAAAAACTAACTGTCCCAAAGCCTAAAATTACCTTTATTCACTCTAGACATGCTATCCCTGACACTAGTACCTAAAATTAACCATCAACTCTGATCCCTAAAATTAACCATTTTTAGAAAGTGTAGGAAATTCACATCAACTACGTGTTCCAAAGCCTAAAATTACCTAATATTCACCCTAGACATCCTATCCCTGACCCCACTACCCCAACTCAAAGACCCCTATATTTTGCGTCCCGACGCGTCAAACCCGGATGCCGAGGGAACACGGAAATGCCTGGTGCGTCACAAACTGATGCGACGGGTGTACCCGACGCGTCAAAATAAAACGCAGAGGGAACCTTGGAAAAGCGTCAATATGTGTCGAGTCGGGAGTGAGAATGTGCTAAGTTTACGTGTTCTCCTCATTTTTACTTTCCTACTTGCTTAGGAATTTTTATCACTCAATATATTTTAATTTGTTATTTTCCTAAATCTAAAAATCATTTCTGATCGTGCAGGGATTACGCAAATAAGTCCATCACACACGCTGGACATAAATTGCATCTACGTATTTAACATGAATGAAAGCATGTCGGGAGGTGTCTCACATGTGTCACGTGTCTCACATTGATTGAGATGTACAAAAGAAATACACGTGGATTCCGGCGTACGCACGTTTTGATACATTTGGATTTATTTGTCCGTACTTAGACCATATGCCACGTTTCAGTAAGAAATCCATGCAAGTCTTTGTACATGAGGCCCCAGGTCACCAGGTACTTACTGACAAGTCCCCTACTCTGGCCTGGCTCCTGGATGGGTCCAAACAAGCATCTTGTTTTTCCTGTCCGTACAAGCACTGCAAATCCTGGCCCTCCACAGAGCAAAAACAATATAGTGAGTAAGTGAATGAATGAACATTTCAAACACTAAGTCTTATCTTTTGTTTTTCAAATGTTTCCTTGATGTTTTGAAATATGGCAAGATCATAGAACTCAGGAAAAGCAACAAGAATCCCATTCCATTGAGTCCTGTTGGGGTCAGTTGTAATGAAACTGCAGCTCTTCTTCTAGGGATTCTAAGATGGGATGGTCTCCTTTCATTCTAATTAAACAATTTCTAGTGCATATTTTAAAAGAAACATTAGATTCTAGGGCTGGGCGGTATGACCTCAAATTCATATCACAGTATAAATTGAATCCCTTCACTGTAACAGTATATATCACGGTAGAAAATTATAAAAAGAAAAGATAATGTAATTTCTAGAGCATTTATTTTGCAGAAAACTGTCATCATAATTAAACCCAGCATTTTTGCTGTAGTGCAAACGAAGTACAAAAGAATGTTTTATATATATTTTGCACAACGGTTTCAACAACAAACAAAAACATCTCAAATTTTCAGCAATATATAAACAAAGTGGATGTTATAACCGCTACTTCCAGTAAAATTAGTCACATAAAAAATTCTAAGTTGGCATAAGTTGCCTAAAATGTTATAGTGTGACAGGACCTTAAGGGGCTTAAGCTTGACGTAGTCCTGTCATAAAACAATTTCAGATAACTAGAATGTAAGTGTGGTGAAGCCAAATATATGTAATATCTGCCTGCCATACAGTGCGCAAGTTGAACTTGAACTTATATGCTGCTGCTTCGTTGCGCTCTCAGATCAGAACTGTTACATTAGCAAGATTGATTTATGACTGAACGAGCGTCCACATCTTTTTTATCATCTCTTTGGGTAACAATAACAAGTTTTTTCTCCGATAACTTGGGTGTGAAAAACTATAATTGTTAAAGCTTCGCTCTGCGTGATGTGCAGCGGGAGGGAGGGAGGAAATGACATGATGGCATGACGTAACTTTTCTACAGTGGGAGGGGAACATTTTGAGGATTTATTCTCTCTATATGTGTTTTAAAATGCTATATTTTCTTCATTTTATTTGGAACTCCTGCTCAGTTGTCTCTGCACTCGCAGCCCTGCTGACACAKGTACGATGACGTAACTGACAACAGAAGAGGGTATATTTCTACCGTAGGCCAACTTCATATCGTTTCTACTGTCTATCGCATATACCGCGCAGTCCTATTAGATTCTTAAAGTTAGGGTTGGGCGATAAATCGATTTAATCAATTAATTCGAATTTGCCGTTTATAAAGATTTAATTTTGGGAAAACAGAGATATTTTTCTCAACAGTGCATTATTTGGGGCTTCTGTAGTTCAGAGGTCACCCCATCTGTCCCTCAAGATGCTTGGTACACAACAGGACAATATGACAGCTAGCAAAGATGATCTACTTCTCAAAAAAAGGCACCGTTTCCTCAGTTTTCTGGAACTGGTTAGTTTACTGGTTAGTTTTAGGAACTGGTTGGTTTTGCAACCTCAGACTTGGAGCAACGAACACCTCACTGCAAAATCTGTTTGAAGGCTCTTGCAACAAAAAGCAGGAGTACAACAAATCTGTTTCAACACCTGAAACAGAGGCACTCTGTTAAGTGGGAAGCAAAATCGATTAATATCGAAAATCGAATTTTGGATGAAAAAAATCAGAGGGGCCATATCGCCCAGCCCTACTTAAAGTTCCTTTTTTTATTTCATTAGRACAATGGCTGCAGCCTAAATATACTCTTGCATCACTACTGCACGGATGACATAGAGGTACAGAGAGAAGAATTACACTGTAATTAAATTCCTCGCTTGTCTAAAAGGTTACATTGAAGTATCATATTATGGAAGGTGGTAGTTATAAGAAATATACTACTGCCCCCCTGTTTTCTGCAGATGGAGAGGACACCGAAGACATCCAGGGGTCCTACTCCTTGGCCCAGCGGGATGCAGAACAGCGGAACAGCTGAACTTCCTCTCACTCGTGTYATCATTCAGAGAGCTGCAGGCTGGATCACAGACACCGACATGAAGAATCTGCCTGCCCCACACAGGCTGGGGGGAGGAGGGTAGGACCATCGCTGCTGATGACTCCCTGATATCTGCCTGACTCCTGTGCTGCTGCGAGGTGGTCACTCAGTGAGGGTCTGAGCGTGAACTAGAATTAGAGTCAGGGTTCATGACAGCGAGTCTGTTGTTGTTTTCAAGCTGATTTTCATTTCAGCCTTTGTTAAAATGCACGGGTTGAACGAGTGAAAGGAAAGAGAAAACAGCAGTTCCACTCATCTGGAAGAGCCGAGAGGCACTGATAAAATGACTCTTGGTGGGACTGGTGGGATTGTAGAGGTAGTGATGCTGATTCAGGCTGTATTAGCAGTTAATAGCTTAATGCTTCCCTTGAACTGACAAGACTGAAGAGATCCGGACTCAGCTGTAATGGATCAAAAACACTGAGTTCCATATCTCTGTTTTTATGTTTTTTTTTTCTATTAATGCTTATATCATCACAACCTTACAGGAGTAGCTGGTCATGTTTGGGAATACATTCCTGCAGAGAGTTACATGAGAAAAGCTCTGTTTATTATGTTGCTGGAGTTTCAGTTTTATTTAAAAGACGTGGAATAAAATTAAGCTTTTCACTCAAGAAAAAGGTTGATGTTATAGTTCACTGCTTCAAATATTTAAGCTGAGTTTAATGAACTTATTTGAATTCATTCATCGAATTTTCACAAAATGAAGTCTTCTAAAAAGTAGCTAACTTTTCTTAGATGATAAATCATAAATTTATCGTATTTGCATTATGTTCTGTTCTCACTGTGCTCTCTTATACTCTCCAACAAGTCGTTTTTCTAAGTGCCTTAAAGTGCCTGTGACATGTGTTTCCCAAATACAAAAAGTGGAAAAAATGATGTAATATTTAGAAAATTTGACATGATACACACTATGTTTTGTCACATAAATGGCAATTTTTTTGGTGAACTTGGTGCAGGCAAAGTAAAACAGGAACTGCCGTCAAAGGAGAACTCCTGGTTTTTGTTTATTGAAACAATGTTTTTTGAACTCTGACTTTTTTTTCGCGAATCAAAATAATTTGAAGAAACATTAGCTTCTTTGCTGCTCTCTGTGTTGTTATACACTGTTGCAATGCTCTGCTTACATGTAGACTTTCCCCTTTGTCATCACTTCCTGTTAAGGCACATGTAAATTTCTTCAATTCAGTTTATTTATATAGCACCAAGTCACAACATATGTTCTCTCAGGGCACTGTACAAGAAAAAAGAACAATCTGAAGAAGAAGCCAGCAGATTGTGTTGAATCACTTCATCACAGTCTCCCATCCTGAGCAAACGGTGGAGAGGAAAAACTCCCTGCTAATCAGGAAGAAACCTCCAGCAGAACCAGGCTCAGGACAGGCAGCCATCTGCCTCGACCGTCTGGGTTGGGGGGCAGGAAAGAGACACAGGTAAACACAGAAGAACTGGTCCAGGTGCACCTTCTTCTGGAAAAGAGACAAAGAAAAAAAACAAGTTATTGATAGAAATAATTACAATAAACATGTAGAGAAGAGAGACTAAAGACAGCAGAGTGAGGAAATGTGCTCGATTTGTGCTCCAGCAGTCTTAAGTCTACATCAGCAGAAATGAGGAATAATTCAAGAAACCTAAAGCCTGAAACATACTCGTTCCGACGCCGACGGGTCGACGCGCGGTCACGTGGTTATTCGGCAGTCGTTTTCGCACAGATCTTTCATTTTCCCTACGACACCCCTGCGCCGAGTTCGGGAAACCCACCTCCCTGAAACATACGTCACTGCATGGAGTTCCCCTGCAACAGCCGATAATGCAGAAAAAAAAGTCAGACTAGTCACTCACCAAGTATTTATCCACATGTGTCCTGGTTAAAGCGCCACAGTTTTTATCAGTCAGATTCCTCCATGCACGACGTCTGTTTTATCTCCATTCATGAGTTTTTCATGGAATGACTATCTTTATGAAACTCAACTTCCTGGTGTCGGCTCTAGGAGCGAGTCGGGGGTTTTTTCCCCTCTTTTTTTTTTACCGAGTGCAGCAGCGCTTTCAGCACAAACAAGCCATATAAGTTTTTCACGGTTTGACTGTCTTATAAAACTCTGCTTTCTAGTCTGGGAGCGAGTCGTTCTTTTTTCTTTTTTTTCCCGAGCGCAGCACAAACAAACACGCCCACAACCAATCAGACCTATCACACATTACTGTCGACAAGGGAGGGGGTCAAAAAGTTCTGCCGGCGGGTTGTGCCAAAAGGGGCTGTCGACACGACGCTGAGAAGCCCGGTGACGTAATTTTCGTCATTAAACTGCGACAACTCTTGCCGATGTCAGCAGTTCGCAGCGAGAATGTTTCAGGCTTTAGTCTAACTATAGGATTTAAGAAAAAGGAAAGTCTTCAGTATAATCTTAAAAGCAGACAGAGTGTCAGCCTCACGGACAGAAACTGGAAGTTGGTTCCACAAGAGAGGAGCTTGATAACTGAAAGCTCTGTCTCCCATTCTACTTTTAGAAACTCCAGGAACCACAAGTAAACCTGCAGTCTGAGAGTGAAGTGCTCTGTTAGGAAAGTATGGAACAATAAGATGTTTAATATATGATGGAGCTTGGTTATTGAGAGCTTTGTATGTTAGGAGTAATATTTTAAATTTTATTCTAAATTTGACAGGGAGCCAGTGGAGAGAAGCTAAAACTGGAGAAATATGATCTCTCCTTCCAACTCTCATTAAAACTCTAGCAGCCGCATTTTGGATCAACTGAAGACTTCTTAAAGAGTTTTCTGGATGTCCAGATAATAAAGAATGACAGTAATCCAGCTAAGTTGATCCCTAAGATGTTCGGGTCTAAAAACCATAACCTCTGTCTTACCTGAGTTTAGACGCAGAAAATTAAGTCATCCATGTTTTTATAAATATAACTGAGTATCATCAGCATAACAATGGAAATTTATGCTGTACTTTATCTAATTGAAACATATACAAAGTAAAGAGGATTGGTCCAAGCACTGAACCCTGAGGAACTCCATGACTAACTCTGGTGTAAGAAGAAGATTCATTATTAACATTAACAAACTGAAATCTATCAGTTAAATAAGACTCAAACAATTTTAGAGCTGTTCCTGTAATCCCAATATCAAGTTCAAGTTTGCGTAATAAAATATTGTGATCAATTGTATCAAATGCAGCACTGAGACCTAACAGGACAAGAATGGACACAAGTCCACTGTCTGAGGCCATGAGAATGTCATTAGTAACTTTCACCAGTGCTGTTTCTGTGCTATGATGTGCTCTAAACCCTGACTGAAACTCTTAATATAGATTATTTCTATCCAGATGTCCACATACTGTAGTTGATTTGCAACTATTTTCTCAAGAATTTTTGAGATGAATGGGAGATTAGAWATAGGTCTATAGTTGGCCAGAACTCCTGAATCAAGATCAGGTTTCTTAAGTAAAATTTTAATTACAGMAACCTTAAAGCTCTGCGGCACATAACCATTTATTAAAGATAAATTAAGTACATATAAAATATGGATATTAAGGGAAATGCTTCTTTGAACAGTCTGGTTGGGATGGGATCTAGCAGACATGTTGATGGTTTGGATGAAGCTATTATTTTAGATAATTAAAGCTATTATCTCAACACTATCTCAACAACTGTTCATCTCAGTGGCATGAATTTTTTTTTCAAGTTATTAATGTTATCTTTCCAAAAATGCATTTGAGATTATCATGAACATTTGATGTCACAGGCACTTTAACATCACCTCTCTCTAAAGGTTGAAGGTCAAATATGTTTATTTTTTTCTGTCTCTGTGTTCGTTCGTCTGTTGTGTTAGCAAAATATCTCATAAACCACTGGGCAGGTTTTAATGAAACTCAGGAAGTAATCAATGGCTGAACGTTTACAGCTGATTTAACTTTCGGAGCCAACCTATTTCAAGATGGCCGCCACTGATAACTGGGCTTAGCAAACACAGAATTGGCTAAAACTCAATCTGTTTTACAGATAATGAGCCAAAACTTATTGTCATCCACAACATATTACATGAACCAGACAGACCTTAATGAAAATGTCAGAAAATAATTGGAGGTATGTACAACTGATTATTTTTTAATTTCAACATGATCCAAGATGGCCGCCACAGCCAGTTATAACATTGTCATTTCTCATCATGAGATGATCTGAAATTGGAATGAAAGTTGACAGGTGATTTGCACTTCTGCAAAGCTAGACTTTAAATTTGATATAATGATAGTAAAAGAGAAATAATGGAAAAGGTTAACAGAGTAAATAACTAGTAGAGCACATTTCATATGTATTATTTCTTCCCTAAATGTCCTTACAAAGTAGATGCATCAGTTAAAAGGTCAAAAAATTTGGGGCAGGATTTCACCCATTTATTTATTTATTTAATTTTGGCTAAAACGGCTCTCCATAAATAAAAACGTCCCCTTTAGTTCAGATGTTATTTTAAATAATACCACCACACATGAACACACCCAGTTAAATGCTTTAATTGCTTTGACCTCCTACTGGAGAAGTCTGTGTTTTATTATGGTAAAGTGAAATGTTTGACTTTTTCCTTCCCTTAAAACCTATAGACTTGTTTTTTTTCCCTCTCATTTTTGCAACTTCCTCTGAATTCTGAGAAAACCTGGCTTAAACAGAAGATTACCTGTAAGAGGTTTTCACTTGTAAAATTGGACAGTTGCAGAAAAAAGAAGACACTCAGAGAACGTTCTCATATTGAAATTGCGAAAGGTCCATTAAAACTAAAATGTCTTTTGATTAATTTTTGACCTTTGATAGGCAGTTTGCTTTATTTTCTGTCTGCATTTACCATCAGGCCTAATTTCCTGTTCTGATTCAGTTGTGGCACTTTGATCCGTTTAAAGTTTATCTCGGTGCACTTCTAACTTTGATTGGTTCCACTTGTTTCCTGGTGAAAGAGCATAAAGGGCTGTTTTTTTATTGCTTTACAGGACTTGTGAGGATTTCAACTACAATAGACACAAATCAGCTGACTAGCTTCAGGCTGCAGCTACACACTGTATTTAACATGAGATGGATATTGATCAGCTCATCTAACTCTCTGCAGTGAAATCCAAAATGTCCTGATTATTCCTGAATGTAAATATGCAATAATCAGTAGAACTTCCAGAAAAAAAACAAGTGTCTATTTGTGTAAAAGTGTTCTTTGTTTTTGACGCTATTCCATTTCTGCTACTTGCTTGTAATATTTCACCTGTAATAACTTTTTTTAGCAGTTTGTTTTTATCTTCCTGCAACAACAAACACTGACATTAATGTGGGGAACAAATGTCGCCCTTGTTTCTTTAGGTCAGGCGTTCAGGTCGGACGCTGACTGTGCAAATCCATCATTTTTGCATGTCCAGCAGCTGCATGATCCTGCCGAATGTATCGCTCCTCTGTCTGTCTCTCATGTTTTCTGCTCCTGGTGTCGGATGAATGAAATAAATAACAAATAAAGAGTTGGAAAAAAAAAAGGGAAGCCTCCTGCGTGGCTGCATGTGTGGAGCTCAACCAGCAGGAAGCACTGTGGGAAAAGTTGTGATAACAAAACACAGAAAATGCTTAGAAGTATTAAAACATTGAACTATACAGTATATATA